CAGTAAATGTGTTCCAGTAAGATACTACATATGGAGTACAACATCTTTCTGAAATAATGCACGTATACAACGGTTGTTATTACGTGCAGAAGAAAAACTAATTTGGCCAATTTCAAGTTTGTTTGGATCAAAAGGTAATAAATTCAGATTCTGTCCTATATTTTTAAATAGCATAAATACAGCAGCAGGAATTGCAGCTGTAACAATATTAAACTCATTAATGGGAATGTTGATTTTGTATTTTGAAATAAATTCTTGATATGACATTAATGACCCGTCTACATTAAACAGCTGATGAACCAGGACTATGTTGTGAGTAAACCAGTTTGGGTAAAATAAGGATTTGTTTTTATATAATATGTCTTTATTGTTCCAGATGTAATATCGATGTGGAGAAAAGTTATGTTTATAAATTAATGACCAAGAGAAGCATCAGTTTATGAAAGTTAGATAGTTTAGAGGGGACTTTTTCAACATTATAACTGCAAAATAAAAGAAATTTTAGGCCTCCTAATTTAGAGAAAATAAAGTTTTTGATGAAGGGAAGTGTTTGTTCAGCTTCACTTCCTGTATTGGCCTCAGGGGGCGGGGCCTGTGTGACCTCACCTGGCTGCTCAGGTAACTGCGACATAAACGCCCTGAGAGGCGGAAGTGAGTGATTTTAGACTGAGACTGGCGCTCAGTTCGGTTCTACTTCTGGGTTTCTCTTCGGTTCGGTTCCAGCTCCACAGGATGACCCAGCTGAAGCTGCTCGCGCTCTGCTTCCTCTTTTGTTCCGGACCGGTTCTGGGCTGTGACTGGGACAAGTCCACAGACCCGAACCAGGGCCTGGACCCGGACTCCATGTCGAACGGCGCGCGCGACCTGGGCCGCAGCGAGGTGTCGGACCCGGAGAGCTGCCGGACCGCCTGCTGCGGGCTCCCGGACTGCGACCTGGCCCTGGTCGGGCTGCCCGCGGACGGGGGTCGGCAGTGCGTGCTGGTGGGCTGCGGGACCAGCGGCGCGTGCGCGCTGCAGCCCAGCACCCAGTTCCAGGTGTTCCGGAGGACGCGGGACGAGTCCGACCAGACCCGGACCAACGAGACCAACAACGGTAAGCAGGATCCCGGGTTCTGGTTCAGATCAATAAGTTTCTCAGAACACCTGCGGCTGATTGATGAGCGAAGCTTCTGATTGGCTGCAGCCTCACTTCCTGTTTACTCAGGTAAAAAAGCAGAAGACTGCACCTGACCTGTTCCCTCAGGTGTTTTCCCACCACTTACCTGAGCAGGTGTTTCCTTCTTCTTCAGGGGTTTAACACTTATTATGTACCTGTCAGTTTGTTTGTTAGCAAAATATCTCRGAACTGATTCATGTTCTGAAGCTTTCAGGAAGTGATGACGTCACACCTGTCTGAAAGCTGTCCACTCTGATTGACAGTTGGTGTTTGAAGCTGTACATCTGAATATAAAACAAACACAAGCGGCTGCTTTCATCTTTAAATGAGCCGAGTTTGTCTCATCATGACACTACCACCTCCGTGCTCAACAGTCTGAACATCTCGCTCTGACTCAGACGTCTTCATCTCGTCTGTCAGTCAAACTTTTTTTTTTTTTAGAAAATGTTTGTCTCTGATGCTGTTTYAGTCCACCTTAAAGGTGCGGCTTTTTGGAGGCGGAGCTTCTTTCATCTCATTGTTTAATAGTCCTGAACGCAGTCGATCATGATCGCTAAAGGAAGTTAATGAACCTTTGAAAACATCCAGGTGAACAGATTTGACCAAATAAATGTTTTATTTAATTTATATTTTAAATGACATTACTGTCTGAGAATCCAGGTGTTGACCTGAAGTCTGAGCTGATTCCACCTGATGTTTCAGCCGGACCACACGTGACATCGCTTCCTTCCCACAGCTCACCTGTCCAGGTGTTGTGTCACTGTGGGAGGAGCCTGTGGCGGAGCACGGCTCAGGTGCGATTCAATCAGTGAGGAAGGTTTCAGGACCAACCGGTTCCTCTGGTTCTTCCAAGTTCACCTTTGTCCGTGAACACCTGAGGGGCGGAGTCTGGACTTGATCAAAGGAACTCACCTGTAGGCTTTGTTTTTATTTAGCTCAGATCAGAGTGTTCTCAGGTGGGGGCGGAGTTACAGACAGCTTCAGGTAAAAGACGATGACATCACTTCTGGTTAAAGTTCTGACTTTAGGTTTTCCTCTGAACTCACTCACCAGGTGAGTCTCACCTGAGGCACAGTCCAGATTAACCTTCTACACAAACCGCTGCCTCCAACAGATACACACACAAATACACACAGGTACACACACAAATACACACAGGTACACACACAAATACACACAGGTACACACACAAATACGCACAGGTACACACACACAAGTACACACACAAGTACACACGCACAGGTACACACACAAATATACACAGGTACACACACAGGTACAGACACAAATACACACTGGTACACACACACACACAAGTACACACACACAAGTACACACACACAAGTACACACTGGTACACACACACAAGTACACACAGAAATAAATACTATGTCTGACCCAGTCTCTGGTCTGACCCAGTCTCTGGTCTGACCCAGTCTCTGGTCTGACCCTGGTCTCTGGTCTGACCCGGTCTCTGGTCTGACCCTGGTCTCTGGTCTGACCCAGTCTCTGGTCTGACCCAGTCTCTGGTCTGACCCAGTCTCTGGTCTGACCCTGGTCTCTGGTCTGACCCGGTCTCTGGTCTGACCCTGGTCTCTGGTCTCTGGTCTGACCCAGTCTCTGGTCTGACCCAGTCTCTGGTCTCTGGTCTGACCCGGTCTCTGGTCTGACCCGGTCTCTGTCTCTGGTCTGACCTGGTCTCTGGTCTGACCCTGTCTGGTCTGACCCGGTCTCTGGTCTGACCCGGTCTCTGGTCTCTGGTCTCTGGTCTCTGGTCTGACCTGGTCTCTGGTCTCTGGTCTGACCCGGTCTCTGGTCTGACCCGGTCTCTGTCTCTGGTCTGACCTGGTCTCTGGTCTGACCCTGTCTGGTCTGACCCGGTCTCTGGTCTGACCCGGTCTCTGTCTCTCCACAGTTCTCTGTCGTCTCCCCATGAAGGTGGGCTCGTGCCGGGCGGCGTTCCCCCGGTTCTTCTACAACGTGACGAGTCAGAGCTGCAGCAGCTTCCTGTACGGAGGCTGTGASTCCAACGACAACAACTTTGAGTCTCAGGAGGAATGTGAGGCCACCTGCAGCGGCGTGACAGGTGAGTGAGGGGCGGAGCCTAACTGAACCAAAGACTGGGTTTTTATYCTTCAGACCTGCAGAGTTGTGGATGACTGACGAGCAGCAGAACTGTCACATGATGAAGTCATGGTTTTTATTCCAGTGGAGGTCAGAGGTCAACAGAAGGTTTAAAGATGTCACCTGACCCTCCTGTTCAATCTCTGGATTTTACCTGTTTTCTCTGCGGATCAGAACCAAAGCTGTCTTTGTGTGGACCGCTCCCTCCACCTGTTGTTGTTGTCAGCTCGGTCTGATTATGTGATCTGGGAGCGGTGCTGCGTAAACAGATCCTCCCAGCTGGTCTCAGGTTCCTCAGTCAAGGTTCCATACAAGAACAGAGACCAGCTGGATGGTTCTGACCTCCTGGGTCTGTTCTAAACCAGACTTCACTAAAATAAATGTTCCTTCCCTAAAGGCCAGCGTGAACGTAGAACTTCAGTCATAATCTGAGCCACAACAGAGCCAGACTCTTATTTTGAAACCTCTTCCTGTTTCCTATCGACAGTCTAACTAAAGTTTGGGGACTCTGGGTGGTGACTTCAGTGTGATGGTAAAAATAAAAATGTTTGTTTCTGCCAGTGACCTGTCATCATCTGTGTTCAGGTTCAGTTCTACCTGATGAGTCCACACCTGCTCCTTCTCCACCTGCTGGCAAAGCTGCCAGAATGGCTCTAAATGATCCTGCCCTGAACACCAAGACCGGTAAGATGTCACTGACCAATATGTGACCGCTCAGTATCTGTTGGTCTATGGTTGAGGGTTAGTCTAGTCCAGTATCTGTTGGGTTTCAGACTAGTCCAATATCTGTTGGGGTTTAGTCTAGTCCAGTTTCTGTTGATGTTTAGTCTGGTCCAGTATCTGTGAGGGTTAGTCTAGTCCAGTATCTGTTGAGGGTTAGACTAATCCAGTATCTGTTGAGGGTTAGTCTAGNGTGAGAAAGCTACGTTGTTTTCTTTCCCACCTCCCACCTTTCTCACTGACTTCCCTCTCAACTAACTTTTTCTATTCAGAACAGTTAATCAGTGTTGTTCGTCTGTTGGCCGGAG